GGTCTGCGGTTGGACCTTGAAAAATGTGCTTTTGGGGTGACAAAAATAAAAAACTTAGGTTTCATCATTGAAGCGGGAGTCGGCGTCAAAGTAGACCCGGATAAAGTGCAGGCAATTGCTAAGTGGGAGGAGCCAAATAATGTGTCACAAGTACGCTCCTTTCTTGGGTTCTCAAATTTTTACCGGGAATTTATTCCTCGTTTTTCTTCGATATGTGAACCACTCAATAATCTAACCAAGCGGGGTGTGCTATGACGATGGGATAAACCCCAAAAGGACGCATTTATGCGACTAAAGGAGCTACTAATGAGCACACCAATCCTCACAATGTTTGATTCTGAAGCTGAAACCCTGTTGGAAGCGGACTCATCAGGTTATGCTATTGGAGGAGTATTATCACAAGTAGATGAAAAGGGTCGCCTTCCACCTGTAGGATTCTTTATTGTAATAACGAGGTTATGAGAAGTCTAAGAATTTTCACAATGGGTGTAACAGTCAACTTGGGTGGATGTAGGATAGCACAATAAGTCTAACGTGAAGAAGACAGATATATATTGTAGATCTGCTATATTGATGACTATTGAATATAAGAGTGGAAAAGATTGATCATATACAGAGGTCTAGCAGCGAGTATTTATACACAAAGACAATACATACAATATACCATCAATAGCAATAACTGCCAACCATTCAGCCATTCAACAACTATGTCATTAGATATACCTGCGTCATATTATCATATAATCATGTATGGTTGAGATACTGGTGTTGTCATTGCTGTGTGCCGATGACGTATCATTGACGTAGGGTCGCTTGTCCTGTCGGTTCTCTTGCCCAATACTAGCCATTCCAAGTTGTGTGATCTACAAGTGGGTCTGATCACAACATTCTTCTCCAGAAAATTGTTGCCGGCTGAAGCTAACTATGAAATTTATGATAAAGCAATGTTATCTATTGTTGCTACTATGAAACACTTCAGAGGTGAACTTAGAAGCGTTAGTAAACCTTTCACCATACCATCTGATCATCGAAATTTGCAGTATTTCATGACAACGCGCCAACTATCAGAATGCCAAGACCTATGGGCAGAAGAGCTCTCAGGCTTCAATTTTAAGATAAAATTTAGACCAGGCTCAGATTCTGCAAAGCCTGATCTCCTTTCTAGAAAAGCTGAGTACAAGCCTAAAGATTTCAGTGACGAAATTTTTCGAAAAAGAGAATTTCAACTCCTAAGAAGCAACTGGTTATTGCCCAGTTGTGAAGAGGAAGAATTGTTATCTTCCCTAAGTCTTTCAGCAGTGGTCACTAGACAACAGGCTTGGCCCCGGGAAGAAGTTAGGGAAAAAGCTATGTCCAAGCGTATTAACCAGTCATCCAGCCCCCCCTATCCCCCAAAGGTCCCCCAAAAGGAAATCAACTATTTGAAGAGCTCGAAATGAAAAAAAATCTGGAATAAAGCAGTAAAGGAAGACGCTCCTGTCCTCGACGTTTATACGAGCCTAGAAAATGAGAATCGCGCACTACCAAATTCTATTGGAAACTCGATGCAAATAACAGATTGCTCTTTCGACGAGAGACACGCGTTACTGTATCGCGGCGCCTTATGGGTCCCAAACTGGGGGCCTCTACGCACTACATTAATTCAAAAAGTGCACGATTCCCATATGACAGGCCATCCAGGCCGAGAAGTAACATTATCTATTCTCTCACGAAGCTATTTCTGGCCTCAGCAATACAAGGATGTTAGAAGATTCGTGAGGAATTGCCACATATGCGGTAGATCAAAAGTTTGGCGTCAGTCTTCGAGTGGTTTGCTGCGACCACTGCCAATACCAGAACAATTTCACAGCGAGTTAGCCATAGATTTCATGACCGATTTACCTACAACAGATAATAAGGAAAGATTTCTTATGGTTATATATGATAGGCTCCTTGGTAGTCCTACATTAGAAGCCATGGAGACAATGGAAGCGGAGGCTTATGCAGAGAAATTTATTCTGAGCCATTGGCGCTATCATGGTTTTCCCAACTCTCTAACATCAGACAGAGGCTCTAACTGGGTCGGTCACTTTGGAAGAGGCTTTACCCGTGTGTAGGTATTCAACAGCGACTATAAACAGCATTTCACCCACAGACAGATGGGGGTACTGAGGGAATAAATCAAGAAGTGCTAACATACCTCCGCGCTTATATCTCTTATGCCCAAAATGACTGGGCGAAACTTCTCCCACCTGCAATGGTCGCTATAAATAATAGAACTAGCTCAAAGACTGGTTTCAGTCCATTTTACTTAACCCATGGTTATCACCTTGAGCTCATTCAGCGCCGTTATACACCATCCAGCCCGAGTACAGCCCCAAAAGCAAGAGCCAACGCCTTCATAAACCGCCTTCACGAGGGTCAAGAATTTGCAAAAGCTGCAATGACAACAGCCCAGCAAATTATGTAGCACAATGCTAACAGAGGACGAAGACCGGCGGAAAAGTTAAAAGTGGGAGATAAAGTGTGGTTAAATCTAAAAAATGTCACCACTCCGCAGCTCAAGAAAAAATTTGTCTTGGATAAATGCCAAATATAAAATAACGCGCGAAATAGCTCCTGATGTCTACGAACTTGATATGCCAAGTAACATCCACCCCGGATTCTTTGTTGATCTACTACGTAGAGATCCAAATGATCCACTACCATCCCAAGTCACTGATGATAGCCAGCCTCCACCACTCCTAGACGGCAAAACCCCCCTTTATGGAGTAGAGAGAGTACTGAGAGCTAATTCATTCGGAGGAAAAAGGTTTGTCTGCGTCAAGTGGACGGGCTACAAAGAAACCACCTGGGAACCCCGAGAAAATCTTGCGCTAACTGATGCGTTCAAAAGCTTCATCAAAGAATATGGTGATGAAGATAATGTTGGGGATCCTAATGTAGGCAGCTACATGGGCTCCAGAGGCAAAAAGAAAAAAAACCCCAGAGGGAGAAGGTGATGTTACGGGCTTAAGGCTACCAAGATAGATTTCCCAAATAAGGTCTGGAGACCCACTTAAGTAATGTCGATCATAGGTAACACTAAAATTACCCCGGTAAATTATCATTGTACTGAAAACTCTTCAATACACTGTAGGGACATCTTCTTTATATCATTGTTTTAGATAATCAGAATATACTTCGTTAACTTCGTTCGATTGTTCATATCAAGACCCTATTCCGTGACAACATGAGTAGTCCAAATTTCAAACTGAGTTATCGTCGTATATAGTCGTCGGGGAAGCTAGTCTTACCCGTGTCATGTAATTCTAGTGCAGGGCTAGCGCCCGTCACGTCTAAATATTCATTCATTCTCCCTTGCTGGGTCATTATCTTAATTACCCATCCAATACCACGCACTCCACGTTGGCAATGTTAGAGAAAATAAACACAACTCTCACTTTACTTTAGAGTCATTCGTTCTGCATTGCATAACCCAAAAGTGTATGTACATCCAAGTCACTCGACACAAATACAGTTATCCTCCAATACAATATGGACCACAATCCAATCTCATAAATCTACATAGTCGCACAAGGTCAGCAAGCATAATGATTTTCTCCTGAGCTCAAACCTAGAGTAATCATGATACGTCATAATATTGGCAAGTAATTGATTGATTGATGATTCTAGTTGTTGTAATCTTACACTATTCAATATGAGGACTTTGAGGTGAGCAGTTGTTATATATCACGTAACAGAACACAGGAGCAAAGTAAAAGAGGGGACAGCCTATTAGCCAAATCTAAGCAATTACGGGCACACGTAGAACTGTAACCCTTTTTTTCTTCTGCATCAGATTTTAATTGCGTATGCAGCTATCTAGCTATGACACAATATCAAAGAAAAGTACATAATAGATGATTCATCGTAAAGGAGGAGCACTCATGCCTTAGATTTCATTTGCAAGTAGCACTGCGAAGTTATGGTGGCTTTTTCTTCACCCCAAGTCAACCCTCATCCGTGAATACCCACCCAAGAGAACGTCTCAAAAACCCTGAGCTATCCAGAGAACTGTAACACATTCTCTGTAGATAGACACAACAAAGTAATTATCATAAACAATTGAATCAACCTCCACACCATTGAGACCTATATAAGTGCCAAACTTTCATATAACCCTCAATTGTATTGACGCAATTGCATCTGTATCGAGCCATCGCTGCATTCTAGAATATATTCTCTAATTATAATGAGCTACACCGCCAGGTCTGGCAAACAATTATAATAGTTGTGGCCTCGACTCAACTTCGTCTTTGGCATATGCCGTGTGAACATGTGGTATGTGCACCTCAGCATGTAGTCTGTCACTAGACGCACCCTCGTAGCCAATCTATTTCTCACATCTCTGAATTAGAGCTGCCTTACTGCCACTTCCACTTCTCATGAATATCCTAAAGTAATGTGAAAGATAACTTGATCCTCAAATTTGGTTGCTCGCTATCCAGACGTAAACATATTGCTCCATCATGTAGACGTCTTTCTTATTCGCATTCATTCCATGCCACTACGCCGGTGCTACTCGAACCTCAGCTGATTCTCCATGAACAAGTTACGTCTTCATTGTCCACATAACACTCGAACCTACATTCACAACCACTTCACAGTTCTTCGTATATATGATGCTCCTTGGCAACGACTTCCTGACTCGGCTGCTTCACCCAGGTGTTAGTGTATCTGCTTTAAACGTGTTAATACGTGGTGGTCTGTCACCCTAGTCAGGGTATGAAAAGCCATGTGTCTACCGTGAATAGACATGTCCAGATCATGCTCGCAATTTCCAAAACACATAATGCTATTAAAAAATGACTCATGGATACAAGAGGGAGAAGCTCCTTTTTGTATCACTAGAGGAATATGTCGAGTCTTCTAAAATTTCGGCTTTTTTGATCTCATATGATTCAAATTATTTAAACAAACTTTGATCTAGATTCGAATACAGTCGTATTTATTTCCGAATTGGGGTTCTGATTAATTAGTTAATGTAGTTTTTCGTCTCCAGGTACATAATCTTCATTTTCGTGCGCGTGAATCTAGTCATGTTAGGAAACTTTTTGAAAACCACCTGTCACATTCTTACCAGCTTTGTCAAAGCTATCCAATCGTTTATGCCTCTGAGATACGGGTCAGAACTTTCGTCAGGTAAAGTCTCGTGTCCCCAGACCACGATATCTTCAAATTCTTGCTTCTCTTCAAGACATTCAGTACTCATCGAGTGATTTGCTTCTTCTTCGATGTTTTCTTCAGTCGGCATAGTTTCTGGTAAATCCTGATCAGATTTGGATAAAACCACTCCACGATAGTTTTTTGGTATATGAATCCGTTTTCCATAAAGCTTTTTACCTCGGAAATAGACAACCGAATTCCCATCTATGTGATTTGTGAGCTTAACAATTTTATCTTTAATGGCCTAGTTACCTGATTTTTTAATAGGATGCCAATGTCTTTTAGATACACCCACTGGTCCGCTAAAATTGATTCGACATGGTAGTACGTTGGGTGTGCACTTGCCCTCATGTCCCTTAGCTTTTCTAAGGGTTAGCATTTTTTCTCTTATCTTCCCAGGGATTTAGATTTTTCTAATTCAACAGTTGTATGATAATAAACTTTCAAGTAATTTTTAGGGTTACGGTGCGAGTTCAAGAAGAGGACATATTAAAGAGCGAATTTATGTATGAGAAGCATGTGGTATTTGCTGTGATGAGGAAATTTCAATGTCGAGAAGCACCCAGTAAACAACTCAAATTGATCTGTTTGGCTTGGAAAATAATCAACGCCCGACGGTTGGTGTAAACAATTTGTACTTGGTAATTATTCAGCCCTGTACAGCCTTGTACTTAAACGTAAGGAATCTATTGGCCTATCTTGGCGTAATGAAAACACAGGAGTATTTTTGACGACTACAATCATTCTAGAGGAAACCTCTAACTTGTCTTCTTTTTATTGTCCTATTGAGTCCATGAATATACTAGGACATTTGGGTCCTCTCTACCTAAATTTCGGGAGAATCTATGCCTCGGAAAGTGTTAAGCTTCGATCTATCTAGGCTTACCCGAATTGTATTATAACAAGACTCGGCTCGGGGAAGTTCATACTAATGCATGATGTGTATTAAGGAAAATACCTTTCTACAGGGATTTTACATGATACACATCATGAACTGGGTGCATAATCAAGTTTCCGATGATATCCTAATCTTGTCTATCCCGAGCACATTTCTGACATGTTTTGGTGGTAGCGTTGTTGCCAGTGAATTCTCTGGTAGGGTTTCAAATGAAGAAAAACTTTATTTTAGATACTCGATAGCCAGGGAGTAGCGAAGCAACCCTTCGAAGAATTATTATCTTCCACTCCTTTTTTCAAAAAGTGCAACAGGTTTTTACGGGCTAGGCCCGGCTGGGTTCTGGCTGGGCTGTTTAAGGCTATAGGGCCCATCCTTATCTTGAAGGCTCAAGCGAGTTTGTAAATCTTCTCACTATACGGGAGTATTATCAGATCACGTGTAAAGGGCAAGGGTATCTGGAACAGGCATTGTAGTTATAAAGAGCCATAGCTTCCCGCTCGTAATTTCCTCATAGAAAATATAAACATTTAATTGTGGCATTGCTTTCGAGCATTGGCCGAAAGTCCTAGCCCGTCACACAGGTAGTGTATTCCTCCTATGTCTTCCTCGCGACTTCTATCCAGCAGTAATACTCCCACATACGGGCTATCCTCAACACCTGTCAGTGGTGTCCCCTACGAACCTGAGAGTCAAATATTTTTACAGAGCCAATTTCAGTCAAGTTTCAGTATTCCGAACAAGTTGGCCCACGAGGCAATGATTCAAATTACTCCACCATGTCAATCTTTCACTCCCAAAGAGCCCGATTCTCAACTAAGCTTCATCAAGTCTACAAGTACGAACTAGTACATCCTCATTCCAATGACCACACCTCTTGTCGACTTTCTCTGGCCTCGACCACCAAATACACGCCCACGCCGATATTTGTACCCGATAGAGGAAGTAAAGCGTGGAGCACAAATCTGGGAGATAGCTCTTTGGGAAGGACGTGAGAGAGATTAGGACAAGATCACAAGATGATGCAATGGAAGGATACAAACTCGACGGGCGTGAAATTGCGATTTTTGGCAAGGAGCTTTACGAATTGAGCTTTGTGCGCGCCAAGACTTCGCTTGTGAGAGTGCAGCCGACACTATAAAAACAAGCCGACGATGGAAGGTGTTGTGATCCGCCTCCTGGTGGTGTTCTCTGGTATAGTTTGAGCAGCCTGGGCACCTACCCCACTTGGAACGGAGACACCTCAGATCACATATCGCGCGGAGGAAAGTTAATGGATGATGGAGGCATGTCTGGATAACTCAGAGTTTCTGAGACGTTCCCCTGGGTGGGTATTTACGGATGAGGGTTGACGTGGGGTGAAGAAAAAGCGGCCATAACTTCGCAGTGGTACTTGCAAATGAAATCCGAGGTATGAGTGCTCTTCATTTACGTTGAATCATCTGTTATGTACTTATCTTTGATAATGTGTCATAGCTAGATAGCTGCACACGCAATTAAAATCTGATGCAGAAAAATACTGAGCTCTCTGCGCTGATCGCAATGACAGTGGTGCTGGGGATATTTGATCTCTGCATCATATACAGTCAGACCTGTGGTAAGACGATCATGGTTAAGACGATATTGCCGTTTATACGATATATTTTCCGGAACGGACTTCGTTCCCATACATTTACCGATAACACGATTATCGTTCTTCAACTTTTTAATATCGTCTTAACCAGGGGTTTTTTGTTAGCTTGGTGGTAGCAATGCCGCCAAAAAAGGGAATTTCTGTAGAGCAACGACGTGCTCTGCGACGATGGGCACACCGCTAGGTCCCAAACCCAACACAAAAACAGTGCATTTAGTGGTCCTTCGCTGAGTACGGCCATCGATTTAGCCAGTCCACAGTCTCTGAGTCCTTGAGCAAGACCTTTGCGAAACTCGACGAAGCTTCAAGTACTACTGCGCTACAATAGCGAGCTTGAAACTGGCCTAACCTTGAGAGTATTAGAGCGATTAAAGACGGCAATTTGGAGTATTGTAAGGATTCCTCTTCCGATCCTTTCTTTAGGATATAATTTTACCTTTCTTCGTATGTTGCTATGACAACAGGACAGTTCTTGGCACATGGTATCATGTTGATATTATGTTAAGGTCTATGTTATGATGAGCTAGTGAAAGGAGGGCAGGTATATATACAATGGTTTGGTCTGTAGGCATAGAGTTCTCTACGCTTAGTCTTCTGTCATAACCACCATCTTCGGATCACCTCTGGTCACCTTTAGTCACCTCTAGTTACCTTTAGCACCTTTAGTCACCATTAGTATTTGCTCGTACCTTTAGATTCTTTAGACACTTATATCACCCATTTTTAAACCTTTAGTTCTCCAAATTATCTCCAGTAGATCTTTAGTCATCTCTCGCGATCCATCCGACCCCTTCTTGCCATTCTATTCCGCCTCAGGTCAAGCGCCTACGCTCCAATTTGACAAGTATAAAAGAGGCATCAAAAGTACAAAGTAGCCCAGTTAGCTGGATTAGGTAATCATATCCTTTAAAACGATATCCTCTATTTGACAATACCCAAGCACATGATTTTGTCCTGCCCTAAGTAGTCAATTGGTAGAAGAGAAATCTGGAGACAAGCCCGAAATCGCTCCAATGAAGCAATGACCAGCAATCCTAACGAAATGAAAAGAATCACACGATGAATTCTTAACCTTGGTTAGGTAGAAGAATTTCGCATGACAAATGGAGTCGAAATGCTGCTCAGGGAACGAGACTGTTGTGCCTAGACCCACATAGCTACAGTGCACAGCTCCAGTTATGATGGTCACGCGTCTGCATGCATCTGCTCTGTTTGCTCCTGCTTTGTTGAGTTAGTATAATTAGTAAGCAATAGTCTAGGGACTATAAGTAGAGATCTTTCCTCCACAGTAGATAGAGTAAGCAATTCAGTCTTTCCTCATTCCACAGAGATCATTCTCCACTCCTCTTCTTGACCTATCCGGCCCAGCAGCATATCTGTGATCACTAGCAGCGAACTCCCACAAATTGTATGTACACCCGAATCATAGACCTATCAACAGAGACGGAGCATGTAGAAGGTTGGGGTCGATAGAAGGGACGTGATTGATACACATCGATGGCGTTACAGTGTAACTTTACTTTCTGAAGGATAAACTGCAAACTATAAGAATTAAATCAGAAAGCTTGGGGGGTTTTCACCGAGAGATTTCCTCCTATGTAAATATATAGATAAGTTTATAGCCACCTGCATGGCCCCATAGGGCGCCAAATCAGGATAATGAACATAAATCAAATCAATAATATTTAATTTTTCTGGTTTGGCGCCTCGAGGCCCATGCAGGTTTTATCGAAACACATATACTTCGAGTAGGTCGCATCAATTTGACGTTTAGTACACTCACACTCAAATTTCAATTGCAGATATCACTCAAGTTTAGCTCTTACGACGTATAACCTCTTCCGTACATACCCTCCACAGGGAAAAGCATGAAGAACCTAAGACTTTTATTAGGTGCTTTCATAATCTCAAAAGTGCAATGTCGCCGCGGATGAGAGTGGTGTGTGGATTTACTGGATACGAATCAGCTTTCCCCCATCATGAATGAGGTAGCTGTTCGAGCTACCCAGAGTCTGCTTGGTGGAACGGCCTAAACGGTGCATCACTGCGCCATCCAACCCAAATTTCATGATTTAATCAATCAAAATAATATGAAATTTCACATCATTCTTAGATGATATTATCAATCGATGGGATGCGCATCTAGTATCCTCTTCATAGATCACCATTATCAGTAAAAGTTCACATTTGATACCCACTGACACCCATAGGCCTCAGTAATACGAACTCAGTATCCGTCGTGCCATCTCTGCAACCCACCATTGCACGTGAGCCCGCGCCACTTCACCGTCGGACAGCAGAGTCATATGATTATCAAGGGATAGAGTGAATTGAGGGAAGTTACTATCACGTGATATAACGCGTCTGATACGCGATTCACGATGTATATATATTTTTACAGGACTCAATAGAATTCTCCTTTCTTCTTTGTAGACAATCTACTTCATGACCTTCCCCTGACAATGATTGACATACACCTCTCGGCTCATAACCACAACATCCCCTCCCTCCACAAAGTAGTTAAATGCTCACGTACGAACCGAAACCACCAAACCAGACGACGGATTGTTTGTTCGCCTCCCCTCCGACAGTCCTCTGCGCACTGCATCGGGCTACGCAATACAAACGCACTTGAAGTCTAAGCTTGGCAGTCAAAGCCAACTTCTAACAAATGTTAAGTTAACAAAGACAGGATTTTCTCTCCGCCCTAGCGTTGGTAATGCCGATGCCTTAAACAAGAAACTGGCAATAGATGATCTGTTTGGGACTACTCCCATTCAGAAAGCCTCGCCCTGGACGTCTTACAGGACTAAGAATGTCCCTCAATTCTACGGGACGATAAACCAAAACATGCAATACTGCCTCGAACCAGCTACAACCGAGGCCGAAACAGCTGCTGAAGCAACAGTAGATAGCGCTACTCCCGTCCCAGGATAATGAGACAAATCCAGACAGCCCAGATACAAGCTGGATTTTCTGCTTTCCTCATGACCACAGCCGTATTTTTCACGTATTCTCTATCTCCTTGGTTGCCGCACTGTCGCCTGAATCTTTCCTAAAAACTCGTCAGTAGTACAGTGCAGGATGTGCTGGCTTTGGTACAACAGCCGCGCTTGTTCCTCTGCCCGAAGATGCCGCCTTTGTGGGTCTACTCAACACACAGAGAAGGTGTTGTGATGTGATTATTGCATTTACTCTAAATTTATCTCTGCCAAGTGCCAGGGATACAACACATCTATGCGAGATTGGACAGCCCTACATGGCTATCATTACGATCGACTATTGAGGCGCAGCTCTATACAATGGCATAGAGTAATAAGGGATAGTATTGCATGGAATTAAGATTGTAGTACTTCATGCACAGACGGTGATGTACTGTATAGCGGGTACCAAATATGTGTATATAAGTCCTATCTACTACTGTGATATGTAGAAGAATATAACCAGGCTATTCATCATATCGTCAAGCTCTGATAATTGTTATCCACCCTCTGCACTATCCCTAGAATATTCAATATCTCATACCTACTCATACCTTAATCACAACAGAAGGATCACAATAACCTCTGCGCTGCACCGGCTGGACATATCTGCCCACCGCGATGTGTGCACTATCATGGCTATCATCTAGTAGACGATCCAACTCGTGAGCTACGGCCACAATGTTGTGCTGGTGATGCCTAGGATTACGATACATAGGGGTAATGATCACTGAGGGTAAAGGAAAAACTTTCCAGCTGGCTCCATGATGAGTAGAGGAACAATGGAGCACTGTATAGAAAGTGTTTTTAGATTGTACTACCAGATGGAGGAGACTAGAATATTCCGTGGCACTGTTTTGGGTAAATGAGGCGAGAGTCTGGCTACCTCAAATGTGTATATAATTAGCTCTTTCTACCTCCTAAATCTTCATATTTCTGAATATCAAATATATCAGCACTTCACATTGATTCATCCATAATCATCCGTAAACCTTCTGCCAATTAACCTCCGTAAGCTCTTACCTTTACAACACACAACCCTGTCATCTACCCAAAGACAAAAGAGCAGGTTATCACCATCCGTAAGATATTCCCTGAGGCGCGTATCCACCGCCGAGTAGAAGCCAGATACTTTAAACTCTCTGCCGCTACGCAGGGCCCAAGCACCTCCCATACAGCAAAGCACACTAGATATCAAGTCTATCCGCAGGCGCAGCCAAGCGGGATCTTTTCTTAAAACCTTTCGAGATCTTGAGGACATTGGCCCGAGCATCAAATGAGCAGATGGAACTTTGAAAAGATAGTAGTCAACGTGGCAAACTTTCAGCTTTCTTAGTACCAGTCTATTGCACACTAACTTTCCCTCTAACCTGTGGGTATTGCGTTTACACTTAAGAGGGTTTTTTTTAATTTTAAAATTTTCCCGTAAATGTCTTTTTCATCAATTATCATTGTCGTATCCTAATCATCGGATACTCTCTTTAATTGTTGATCAGGTCTCAACCCCCTTGGCTAGGGAGGCGTAGGCCTCCGACAACTGAGGCAGTCAGCCTTAGCGTCCTTTGCCCATTTGGGTTGTATATAAGACGGGCTTAGGCCCTTTTTTAGATAGACGTTAAATACAAAACAAGCAGATACCACTTATTATGCAGTAACTGTTAAAAAGTGACAATCTGTTAGTCAAGATTGAGGAGCAGATTCCTTTTGCACCTCCTCGCATTCCGTATATTTCAGGGAAGTATTACTCTTTCGAGCAATACCAGAAAGTTTGCATTCATCATTTTCGCAACTTGCAATTACCCAGTAAGTACCTTTTTCAGTTAGAATTTTGATCTAGCTTCTCAGACTTAGAGGGAGATCTTCCGCATTTCTTACTTCGTAGATTTCTAAGCAATTCAACCGGTTTTACCATAGTTTTGAACGAAAGTTCTGTGAGTGGGCTTCTCGAAGACATTCTGCCGCTGTACAGATTTACCAATACAAGGTCCTGATATACGAATCGTTTTGAACTAGGATCGTTTTTGCTGAGTCGAATAAGTTTTCCGTGCGATGCAAGAATTCTCTTGAGGGCCTCCATGATTTTAGTCTCCTTGAATGAAACTTCACCATCACATTTGAACATCCGAACTCCACCCCCACCCGCCATAGCGTAAGCTAGTTGTAAAACATAGGCTACCAGAAAGATCGAGTTTAAGAGCCGCATATTGTCGTGTATTATGCTAGAGATGTTCAGGACAGGTCGACGACGGTGATAGAAGATGAAGCTGGCAACACTGTGGTGTATATGTATGAAATTCAGATTCCCCAGAACACCATTTTCGTTCATGGCAGCTCAACAGCATGTATTACTCTCTGTGATAGTACTGCGCAAAAGTAGCTGTCATAGGCCATCTGCATAATCACCTCATTGTCGAACAGCTCCGTTGAGTGGAGCGTCACGACTCATGTAATCTTGGCCCTTTATACTCCTACGGCATACATCGGTAATTCCAAGAGAACAATTCATAGCCTAGTTGATGAAGTTAATATTCTTGGCAATTACACACCTTGTCTTGAGATATCTAGCCTTCTATTCTGAACCCTTCACTCTGGGCTCTTTGATTACTTGTGTTTATTGAATTTACAGGGCTACCTTCAGTATAGCAACGAATACAATTTAGATGGCTTAGCCTTCCACCCATTCTCCTTATCAAGGGCTCAAAGACCATGTATTAGATAGATGAGTTACCACTGGCCACAAGTCAGAAATCACCTTCCCCGACAGTGGCCTAAGAACACCTTTCTGGTGCAGAGCTCAGCCAGATTCTATCACAAGGTCAGTACGCGGGACTACAGGCTATTGTTGTGGTTGTGAGATGAAAGGCGGGAAGCAATTGAATGACTCTGCTGTCATTACGTGGGATGGCACGAGAACATGTGCAGTGGCGAATCGCGGAGATTGCAAAATGCGTACTGTCGAATAGATTATCCTAAATTTAAATATAATATCACAATTTTTAAATTCAGTAGTGTATGAATATTGGCATTGGTAGAGTAGCTATGGGGAAATTTACGGATATTAGTCACGTGTTGTTGGTGCGGCGTAGGGGTTTACTCCCGTTCATTATTCAAGATACAGAAATATAGATATACGTTTTGATCAATAACCATTTTACCCAATATTTGCGCAAGCACGTTAACTGGAACCGGTGATAAATCGACACGGAGGGCAAGACTGAACACCTGTACGCGGTATCCTCTACGAACCCGGGAGTGAAATATTCTCCCAAAGCCAAGTTCAGTCAAATTCCGCAATACCGAACAAGTTGGCCAACTAAGTAATGATTCATATACTCCACCACGTCAAATCTTTACTCCCAAAGAGATCGAATCCTACCTAAGCCTCATCAAGTCTACAAGTACGACCTAGTACATTCTCATTCCAATGACCACACCTACTATCCACTTTCTCTGGTCTCAGCCGGTCGCCAGATACACGCCCACGCCGATATTTATACCCGATGGAGGAAGCAAAGCGTGGCGCACAAATCTGGGAAATAGTTCTTTGGGATGGACGTGAGAGGTATCAGGACAAGTTAACAAGATGATGCGAAGGATGGATACAGTCTCAACGGGCGTGGAAGTTTGAATTTTGGCAAGGAGTTTTTACAAATTGAGCTTTGTGCGCGCCAAGACTTCGCTTGCGAGAGTGTAAGCGAAACTATAAATATCTCCATGGTTGGATGGTGCGGTGGTACATCGTCTTGGGCGGTCTGCAAAGTAGAGTCTGTGTGACGACCAGAAGGCAGCACAGGTTAGCAGATGAACAAGTCGAATCAGGTAAGGACTTAGATCTAGAATATAATTCATAAGATTCTAAACTAAGGGAAGAAAATAACAAGAGGTATCTAAAGATATACATATATACATAATTTACAACTAGTCCGTGCGTATATAGGATCACAACACAATACCTGAAAGGAACAATAGTATCAGAGGCCCCGAGGGTCAGGAATACAAGGCCTTAACAGTCTGGATAGCTTGGACACATATCCCACTCGAGACAGTAGATCGCTGATTCAAACCCGGCAAAACACAACTACATTTCTCGCGGCATTGGTATGCATGGAAGACGAAGGCATGCTTGGATAATCAAAGGTTTTTAAATTCCCTTTGGTAGGTACTTACGGAGGAGGGTCGACCATTTGTGCAAGCAAGCATATCTCATAGTGGTATCTGCAAATGAAATACAGAGTATGAGTGTCTCTAACGTCAAAAGAGTCATACCACATGTATACATAGCACCGGTCATGTGTCATAGCTTTATAGCTTAATACACATTAAATGATTCAAAAAAAAAGATAAATCGACACTGATCAGTGATCCAAATTATCGGTCACTGATCCGTACGCGGTATTCATACGAAGGAACGTCCCTTGGAGTCGTCGACCCTGTCTAAACTGAGCTCCGGTGTGTCAAATTTAAGAAGTATTAAGTATTCGCTCTTCTTGCTTCCGCGTCCATCAACGCACTCTGTTATTCAAGCATTAACCAGGAGAAATTCCCTAGTCTTGCTTCGCGTCTATTACGCAAAAATTAACCAAATAATGTCTCTCAAGCCATCCTTTTCTACTCCAACTAAATTCGACTCTGACGAAGCAATAACAACATATGTTCAGAATAGGCTGGATCTCTATAGAGCGAAAGCTGTACGAGATGGTCCTCTCTGGGAAAGATGAGTAGAAGACTTCGAGGACTGGGATGTTGATCTCTTTAGTAAAGTTGACTCGGAACTCAGGAGAGAATTTCGAGATTATCTTATTTCTCGAGGAATTTATATGACACCAAATCCGAAGGGAAAACATATCGATCAACAACATTCAGTAGAAGTAAAGAGAGATAATTTCCATGAATAGACCCCCGAAGAAATTGTATCCTATCAAAAGAAAAACCCATTAGGGGTAAGCTCACGGTGCGACCCAAAAGATCCAAGCTACAAGGAATGCGAACATACAATCCAAGCAGCCTTGGATTATGAAAGGACGAAAGAAAACATCTACGGGGAAATTAAAGTAGAAAATAGGGATGTTCTAGTAAAGGAGAAAGAAGAAGAAATATACAGCAAACCGGTGGGTTGTGGAGATAGCGGTAATGATAGAGACAATCGCTCTTTGTCTTACTTACCCAATCACCAACCACACCCACTTAAAGAAAAAAATCTCCTATTGGAAGAGCGTCCACTTCACAAAAGTAGGCAATTGGAGTCTCTAGTTAGAAGGTACAAAGACGAAGAAAAATATAGAGATGAGACTGACAGTTTTGACTACAAGCAAAAAAATTTCAATAACTGTAACAACGCTTGTATTGAGAGAAGATACTTGAAAGATGCGCTTGCCATAATGTTTGCCGGGGATGCCAGCGAAAATACCTGGATTTGACATTGCATGTTGAGGATATGTCATTCAACGAGCGTTGTAATTTAATTAAGTCACACTACGAGACAGTCCATTTGGCAAATAGACGGGAGACGATCTGGAATTCTCTCAACCTGATCGAAGAAATTCAAAAATTTCCAGACAAGCTCCAAGCATTTAATAATCTCGAAAGGGAATTACGTCGCGTTCAAAGAGGACTAGAAGCACATTACGGAGACGCAGCTTTACGGACTAGGATTATTAATGCCTGCTCTGGAATGGTCGATCTACACTTTGTATTATTCTCCCCAGCAAAGACTGCTGAAGGTGTTTGCGCTGATGTTCGGGCCCGTTTCATGCAAATTTCCTCATCAGGTATAGCCACCTGCCAATACCCGCAGCATGAATTCAATGAGTTTCAGGAAGTTGAAAATGCCTACCTGGCGGAACGTCAGTACCAGACTGCTCGGGGATCTGGAATAGGCCGGAGTGATAGACCTTTTTATGAAAGCGGCAAAGACAGTAGCAGAATGAAAGAATCAAGTGCCTCATCATCCTGGAAAAAACGTTTTTTAATTTGTAAGAAGGCAAATTGTTGGTCAACAAATCACTCCGCAGAAGAACGGGGGCAGCACTTAACAAAATCAAGAAAATCTACCCGTCAAAAGATGAAGATGCTGTTCGCCAGTTCATTGTCCAATTCGAAGGAAAATCCATAGATACGGAGTTATATTAGTTCTTGAACATTGAACACCAGCCCGGTGAATGCAAATTCAGCAATGAGTACAGGTATGACACAAACGTCAATCAACACCTCATCTAGGAAATTGAAAAAAATAAAAGATGGATACTAGAAGTTTTGGGATGAATTATTTCCTTCAAATTTCTTAAGTTAGTTGTCTATCATTTAAAGAGTTGTCAGTGTGTGAATATTGGCATTAGTAGAGTAGCTATGGGAAAATTTACGGATATTAGTCACGTGGTGTTGGTGCGGCGTTGGGGTTTACTTCCGTTCATTATTCAAGATACAGAGATATAGATATACGTTCTGATCAAAACTGTTGTGGTTATGAGCTATGAGGTATATGGCGATTATGACTCTGCTATCCGTCGGTGGAGTTACACGGGCTCATGTGCAATGGTGAGTCGCGGAGATGGCGCGCTCACGCTGGGTGATGGCACGATGGACACTGAGTGCGTATCACTGTGGCCAAATGGGTGTCAGTAGGTATCAAATATGAACTCTTACTGACGATGGTGTTCTATGAAGGTGATGCTAGATGTGCATCCCGACAATTGATAATATCATCTAATGGATGATGTGAAGTATGATATTATTTTGGATAGATTGATTCACTAAACTCGGCAGGTGAAGAGATTGTAGAGTGCATGAACAGCGTCTGTGCACCAGCCTGTATTGTCCACCCTTTCCTAATCCAGCAGCCCATCCTCCGTTCCTCTGTCTCCTAACAATTCAACCGAGCCAGCACAACAAAAACCCATTTTACCCAATCTTTGTGCTAGCACATTAACTAGAACCGTTGATAAACCGACAAGTAGCTTACAAACGACTTTACAAGGCTGATGCATCACTTGCCATAATCTGGTCATGCAAATTTTATAACTAGCGACCAAACGGATGTTCAATTACCTGTGAATAACTCCTTCTATGTTTCATTTCTTTCATTATGCATGATTATGTCTTACGCCTAGATTTGTCATTCATGGAACGTAAATAGCCAAATTTAGAACCAAGTATGGAACGGGGTTCTGAGCAGTTTGAATGGAAAATCGCATTTCTCAGTCTATATTTAGAATTGGTAGTAATTATGAGAATACCACCAAGATGTTTATAGAACCTAGATAGACTCATCATTGAGGAAGAGCAATAGACCTAATTTTCTCAAAGAGAACTCCATCTTAATCCAATCAT